TGCAGTCCTGGGAATAATGGTTAGACATAAGAATGTGAAACAAAGTTATAACCTTGTATCCCAAGCAGAGCAGTCTGAGTCAAGTGCAAAAACTTGGAAAACTGATGAGAGGACATGATGGAACAAGTTTTTATCTATGACAGAATGAGGGCCAAATCCAAAGTACTGTGATAGTGAATTATATGGATATTTGGTTCTCTCTCTCCTCTAACCCCTTTTGGACAGAATAAGTCCCCAGGAGTCTTGAAGACAAAAGGGGTGGAGAAGTAGGTATATCATACTGTCATGTGAGTGCTTCTGTGGTTAACTAGAATTTTTTTTACATTACACCTCAACTGATAAAGGGGGTCATACTATTTACACATTTGAACAATCATTATAGTTACCACCTTTCTCAATTCTAAGAGGTGGGGCAGGAAATGTTTACTTGGGAAAAAGAGCTGTTTTTCATAGATATCAAGAGCTAACCAGGAAAATTTATCACTGGAAGGAAAGCAAACACAATGGTTCCAGTTTAAATTCCTATCCTGTTTACTATCTCCTCATTAGCACCCTTGCCTTGGCTCCAAAATGAGACTGCCACACCTCTTTCCTAAGCTACTTAAAAATTAGAGAAAAGTAGACGAGCTCCATAGTTGTACCAGTTGTTGCTTTCTGGTGATAAACCCACACTTGAATTAGCCAGTTAAAACCACTGGCTTAAATGGCATAGAGACTCCATGCTGAAGTTGGAGGCAGCTTAGTCTGGTTCAGGAGCACCCAGACCAGGGCCAGAATCACTATTTTATTGTTCCCATAAAATATATAGTGTCCTTGTACTTAAATGTATCTTCTTGGTAAACCAGACCTAAACTACATGCACATTTAAGCCAATACATAATAGGGACGATACTATATTGGAGAAAACAATGGGAACCATGTACAGATTTTCCATCAAAACTGTAATTGTCATCGCAGCCTGGTTAAAGCCAGAATTTTGAAAAAGGCAAGACAGTTTCTTACATTAATTTTATCCTTTGAAAAGGTAATTATAGAGATTTCTCAACCCCAAATCACTGAATGCTAAGAAGCTAAGCCAAGGTAATAGTAGATCCTTGTGTTAGCTTTACTCAAATCCTTCCCAGCTAGAAAATGGAGGAGTGTTTTCTTATTGGAAGAATGAACCTTTTATTGCTAGTCTACATTTTTCCAATTCTGTTAAATTGTTTGAAGCATGGGGGAAGACCTGGATGTGTTCCCCTGTATAATTGTATTTTGTTGGAAGAAAAAGGGCTTGCTTCGAGTAAAATGTGGTCAGTCTGAAACAGATTTTGCCAGGGTAGGAAAAATTCAATGTTAAATGATATTTTGATCACTGTGGAGACTTTAAGATAAAGACTAGCTTTTGGAGGCATAAGACAGGACCAATGGCCCCTATGGCTGAAATTTTGGTATTACTTTAACATTGCAGATTGATACAACAGTTAAGGAATATTTTCTTGAGTTTTTGTTGTTGTTGTTATTACTGCTGTTACTGAGATATTTTTGGCTATACCTAAAAAAAAAGGATGTCATGCAAGAGTACATTGGCCAACTTGATCAATTTAGAAGGATCAAAGTAATCAAAGTAGTGGAATGAATAGAGCAGAGATTTTAAATATTTAAATTCTAGTTCTAGTTCAACTATGACCTTAAGAAGATAATTTCCCAACTTTGACCTCAATTTCTCATCTGAAAAATTAAGAAAATGTACTAAAAGTCAGTAATCCTTTGTGTCTTTGTCTTCCACAATATTAATGAAGTTAGTTCATAAAGACAAGATTTGTCATGGGCTATATTGGAGTCATTGAATTCTCAGTGGCCTAACTTTAATTCTATCCTTTTCTTTCTATCTCAAGAAGACATATTACAATACATGCAAAGAAGAGTGACTTTATTTTCACAAAACTCTTGAATCTGATCCTACTAATTTGAAAAAAAGCACGGATTATTTCTAAATCTCTTTATTACTAATGACAATAATAATTTAACAAAAAATTGCTTGAAACCTTTCTCATTGTTGCTACATAGTCCCTTGTGGTATAAATTACTATTGGTAATTGGTGACTAGATGGTTTCTAAAATACCTTAGATTGTCAACATTCTAAAATGTTGTGATATTTTCCTCATCTGAAAATTGAATAATAAGATGATGATAAGCTTTTTGCAGACTTACTATTAAAGGACTGGAAATACAAAACTGTGAAAAATCTATGGTTGCCTCTACTTCTTTTATCTTACTTAAATTACTATATTATTAAAAATAAAAAGCTAGAAATAAAACCCAAATTCTACTGTTGACTAAGGGAAACATTATGATTTCATTCCATTCCTGGTTTCATGCTTTATACTTACAGTTTTCTGAAGTCAAGAAATATGTTTTTAAAAAGCCATTCATTTTTAGTTATGAAAGAAAATGTGAATAATTAAAGGGGACTGTTTTATCTCCTCTATGTAAAAACATGGATGAACTGTAATTGCTTCATCTGTGTCCATGCGTGTATAGATGGGCATCAGTGTTGGATGAAAGGAATATAATGATTTATGTAAGTCCATAGAGAGGTCTGGAATGAAATACCTGAAAACCAGTCACCACTAGCTCAAATCCATAACCTCCACAGAATTGGGTGGCTTAGCTCAATATTCTCTGAAGAAATTTCTATTTGTGAGATGAAATTGAACTGCACTTACAAATTTATCTTCTCTGATAAAGAGATTTTTTAGTGGTTTCTTTAAAAGATGTAAGTGGTTTCCCTAATAGGCAACAAATCATAGGACACTGTCTATTATCCAAATGCAGCCAGGCTCTAGAGCCTTGTTTTTAAGATGAAAAGCCTATGGATTGGGTGTTTTCAGTAGTCGTGGTGTCTGATCCTATGAATTTTGTAAAAAAAATATAATAATTGACTAAAAATTATTGATCCACAAGCCAGTGTGGATAAATAATAGCTCAAATCCTAACTACATATTGCCTATTACTCTTTAGTGGTAAACTCACATGGTAGGTTTTGTAATAAGGACTTTCCACTTTTCCCAAGAGAAATGGGTGAGGGGGGGGGAGTTGGAATATTAGTAAATATCAAAAAGCCCAAATATTTTGAAGAGGTTTTGCAAAAATTTAACCTGTGATAATTACTTTTAGTGAATATGTTTCATCCTTTTTATTTTTTATTTTTTTAAAATTCTCACTTGGTTTTTAGAGAGAGTGGAAGGGAAGGGGAGAGACAGAGAGAGAGAAACATCAATGTCAGAGAGACACATTGATTGGTTGCCTCCCGCACGCACCCCAACCAGGGCCAGGGATCGAGCCTGCAACCCAGGTACGTACCCTTGACTGGAATTGAACCTGGGACCCTTCAGTCTGAGAGCTGATGCTCTATCCACTGAGCAAAATTGGCCAGGGCATTGAAAATCTTACTGTACTTTTCAAAGGAGAATATAAGTTTAAGTTCCAAGTTTGGAACTTTTTTTTATTCAGTTGATTGCCTTCAGCTCAGTGATGATTCTTTGTTCAAAACAGTGGAATAAAATTTCATCACATTTTTATATGATGTAACTCAGTGAGATGGAATAATAAAATAATGGGCATTTGTCATTTTACAGTTTTCTTACTGGTTATCAGTAGATCATGACTTCATGTGTCTGGAATGAAATATCTTATTTACCTTATTTACCACTATATCTCTAACACTTTGCCTGTGGCACAAAGTAAGTGCTCAATACATATTTAGTAAATGAATGATTGTACTACTCTTCTGTGGAAGCAGAACAGATATTATTCTTTTTCCCATTTCATAAGTGAATTGACATCACAGAAACATTTAGTGACTTGCTCAAGTTCATATAACCAACAAGTGGTGGTGCCAGGCCTTGAACCTAGTTCTTGAGACCCAAAAACCTGAGCTTTCCTTCGGATTCTTGGATATATGGTATAATTCTGATAGTAATTGGTAAACCCCATAATCTCTCTGGACTTCATTTACTTTATCTGTATATTAAGAGAAGGCATTATTCTGTGGCTCTGAGGTCCCACTTAGGTCTAATACTAAGGACTTAATTTACAATATTATTTACAATCACATTCTATCTTCTGAGAGTTTTATATTCACCAAAGAAGTGATGAAGTCCAGAGAGCTCAGAACTGTGAGGTGACCCAGAGAAGGGGGAAGAAACTTCAGACTAGACTCTTACTCCTTTAAGACATCAGTAAAGTTGTTTTAAGGTTGGTTTAGGTTGTAAAGAGGCCCTGGGGAAATTCTGTCTGATTGTTAACATGTTATAGATACTCTAGAAACTTTCTGGCAACAAAGTCCACATTTAATTACCTTACTTACACAGCTAGCTCAACACCGTTGTCTCCTTCCCCACCATTTTCCACCTTGTGCTCTATGGCTGTAAGCTGGGTGTAGCTTTTATAATGAATCCAGTGGAGACAGCCTCCTTTGCACATGCTACCAAGAATTTCAGGAATAGATATCAAACTTGGATTTTATTTTTAAAAAAATTATTTTCCTCATCACACAGAAGGCTCCTTTACAGCAGCTTTGTAAATGTTAATCTAGTTGCAATTTGGAGTCTGTTCTTTTATAGGAGTGATTAATCCCCAGGTACTACACTGATTTATTGTTTTCAAGCGAACCTGAATACAAACTGAAGGCCCTGTGTAAATTAGTTCCTCTAATTTTCTTCAGCCAGTTTTTCATTTAGAATGTACACAAACAGAAGATGTCAAGAACATTTAGTCTGTTATATCTGCCGCAGTTAGCCCTCCCCCCACGCCCCCCAACACAAGATGAATTCTGATTACAGAGGACTGAGCAATGAAAGCTCAACTGGAATTAGCGACAGCTGTCTCTAAGGGTCAAACCTGGCAATACACCCTGCAGAAAGAGACCTTTTGAGCTGCACTCCTCTGCAGAATAAAGTCCATTTATCAACATGGTTCCTAAATCAGACTCAAAACTCTGGCCATTGTCACTTACCGAAAATTTCGAACCATAAGCCTCTGACCATTTCTAAGAGCTGCATTGTTCAACAGGATCCTCAAATTAAACAGCATCTTCTTTTGCTAGTGGAAAGGACGATTCTATGCACCTGAAAATGCTTCACCAAAGTAGTCAGTGGGATCCACACAAAAGCTAAGAATGCTTTTGATTGCAGTGAGAGAGCAAAGGTAATATTATCCTTCAACTACCTTATCAAATCCCTCTGTTTAGAGATACTGCAGGGCAGAGTTCAGGGGTATTTGAACTTTAAGCCAAGCTTCACCACCACTGTGGGGTTGTTGGGTTGTTTTTTTTTTTAGAAAAAATCCTGACTCTTTTGGTGCCCAGACTCCTCATTTTTATAATATATTTATGCTGTCGCATACTTATACAAAATCATTTGACAACTCACTGAGCATGTAATATATGCAAGGCACTGCAGTGCTAGCTGGTGTCAAGGCACATATAAATAACTCATTCAGAAAAGTGTGAATTGGCAGTGCCAAAAGCCAGAGGTAGACATGTCAGCCCTCAATATTTCCAGTGATATCATCTTCCTATCTCTAATCCCTTTACACAAAAACAAATAGAAAGAAGTACAGGAAGAAGTGCCCTGGAAGCTTTTAGTTTTAACTTTTTATTTTATTTTATTTTATTTTTTTCATGGCAAGAAGCTGGAGGTCCCATTATGTCTTGCACATAGTAGGTCTTCAATAAATCAGTAGATGACTGTTAATTATAGCAGGACCTCAGAAGCAGTAGAAGTGGGGAGGTTAGTTCCATATGCTTCTCCTCTCCAGGTCACTAAGGGGCCATCCGAAGCCTCACATTAATTCCTCCACCTATACTTACAAATTGGATGTTTTCAAAATCTATTCTGTGTTAGGTACTTGTTAGGCTAGAATTTTAAAAAGATTCCCAGGTGATTCTAATGTGCAGCCAAGGTTGAGAACCACTGCCTTATAGGGTTTATCACTCACCCTCTTGTTCCACAATTCCTCTAATTCCTCTTCAGCTGCCTGGTTTGGCTCCCTACTGGGCATCATCCTCCGGAAATTCTGTTTCTTTGTTACTCATGTTGTGGCCCCACCCCATCACAAAGAAACAAAATATTATTTAAAAGCCAACTATGGCCACTTCAAGGGCAGGGATGGTTGTAATGTCATAATTAATATTATCAGGGAAATAAATCCGGACAAGATTCCCTTCTACTTACAGAGACTGGTGTGGGATAAAGAGCGAGAAAGACCAAATTTTCCAAACCTTTGCCAAATCTTTTGCTCTGGGAAGAGTAGTTCAGGCAGTGGCAAGTGTTTGCAAAGGCATGGAGGTAAGAAGTTATACAGTGAATGCTCCAAGTAAGAGCACAGATGGATATTTTGTTTGAAAAGACCATTAAGCATTGTTTAAGAGGCAAAAGTGGCCAGTTGTTGGATAGGATTCAGAGAAAGAAATTAGTCTATGTAATACAGGGAAGGAAACTGAATGTTTGCAAGGAGACTGAGGGAGAAGTCAAACTGCATGCCAATGTAAAGTCTGTATATTCATTCAACTGTTCTACCTGCACAGACAACTCATATGAGCAATGATGTTTGGGGAAAAATCAAAAAGTGTCTGCAATGTTGTGGTAGAGAATGTGGGCAACACTTCTGAGATGTCAAAGCAATACACAAACCCTTATAATTCTATGAAGGTAGGCACTCAGCCCACCAGAAGGATTCAAAATAAAACCAAAACCACCCATAACCCTCAGAGATATTGGAAGAGAAGAGCTACCTCACAAGTGGGATGAGGTTAAAGGCAATTTCACTGAATCTCAAAACACATCTCAACTGAAATCTTCATCACATGTGGAAAAAAACACCTTATAGCAGTGGTTCTCATCCTTGGCTGCACATTAGAATCACCTAGGAATCTTTTTAAAATCCTGATTTCTGCCGAAACTGGTTTGGCTCAGTGGATAGAGCGTCGGCCTGCAGACTGAAAGGTCTCAGGTTCGATTCCGGTCAAGGGCATGTACCTGGGTTGCAGGCACATCCCCAGTAGATGTGCAGGAGGCAGGTGATTCTAATGTGTAGCCAAGGTTGAGAACCACTGCCTTATAGGGTTTATCACTCACCCTCTTGTTCCACAATTCCTCTAATTCCTCTTCAGCTGCCTGGTTTGGCTCCCTACTGAGTTCCCTTTGTCCACCCAGCCCTCCATTTACTCACATTTCTCTGCTGCAAACAACAATTATGTAACCATGATAGGCCAGGTCTCTATGATGGGTGGGCTCTGAGGGATATAGTGATAAATAGGAGTAATGAGTCCCTTCCCACGTGGAGCTCACCATTTGAAATGACTCCACAGTACAACTTCTGTATGTGTCCTCTGACCCCATACATCTAACCAAGGTGTAGGGTCTTGTTCCTGCTCCCTTGCTTCAGGCCCCATGGGACCTCCAGCTTGACTTGCTCCTCATCCAGCTTCCAGCATCAGGAGTAGGAGTAGGGGATGGAGTTCTTGGAGAAGGCGGCACTAATCCTTGATGTACTGGGAAGAATTAGAAAATTGTCAAACTAGAGGAACCAACAAAGGGATATTACAACAAAGGAAGGAACTTGAGAGTAGATCCAGAGGAAGGAACAAATAGGGTGTGTGGAGTAGCAACAAATGATTCACAATTGGAAGTATGGATCAATCCCATCATTGACCATTTAAATGAAGCCATGCCATCACCAAGTAAATTATTTAAAAAAAAACAACACACACACACACACACACACACACACACACACACACACACACACACACACACACACACACACACAACCAAAAAAAATAAAACAGAAAACCATGAATGTTACGTCTTATTCATATCCCCTTTGCATTGTCTTCCCCTACATACCTTCCAAATCTTATGCAAGCGACCACAGCTATCTATCTACCTGAGGATAAACTCCCCATACTTCTCACCCTTGTATGGGTAACCATAAGGCATGTTTTACTCACTCTCCCAAAAATCTCCAGTGGAACTGAACCTCAATTGCACACAGTAGAAACCTGCTCATCAATGTGCTCTGTATTGCCCTAGCTGGCTCTCCCTTCCTCTTTGAAATCAATAAAAATATATTTTTTAAAATGTGCCCTGTATTAGCTGTCTTCCCTTCATAGTGTCACTTCCCTCACTCCCCTACCAGTGCTTCTTTGGATTATCTTCCCAATAAACCACTTGAACTCAAATCCCTTTATCACTGTATGCTTCTGAGGGAACTCAGTCTTTGCCCAGGTCTATCTTCTCAACATTTTGACTGATTTGTCTTGTGTAAAAGTTCCTACTATGCCATGGTCAGCTTTAAGCTACCATAGTGACATCACTGAACACAGAGTTGGGAAGAGAGATGTAAGACTGGCTCTTGCAAGCCATTGTGAGCTGGCTGTAGTACATCACTGACTAAAACCTCCATCCAGAAAGGAGGATTTTCTCAAGATTCGAAAGGAATAGTGGAGTTAGATTGTTGAGGGCCTTAGAAAGCCATATAATGGAGTTACAAATTTAATCTATAGTCAAAGAAATATTAATAAAGTTTTAGGGGCAGACAAGGATATGTCATTATCTGCATTGTGTTTTCAAAACACTAAGAGCACCATTGTGTAAGAAGTACAGTTTGGAGAAAATGTGCCTGAGCATATATTGATGCTGTGGAAATAGAAAGCAGGGGATGGATGCAAGAGAGATTTAGGGATTAGAATTCACCTATCAGAACAGTTGATTGGATGTTGAAGGAAGGGAGATGGAAAAGTTAATGAGACTCCAGGATTTTAAGTTTGTGCTCTCACATTTGAGTCTAAAATTCCAAATAGCCAAATTGGGGGATAAAAACAATGTGAGTATCCTGCCATATAAAGCTTGTGAGCATCATTATAGACTTGCAATATTTCTTTGAAATTGCTACTGTGTCTCCCTAGTGAAATCCAAGCACTGAAGAGGGAATCAATGTGATGTGAAGGAAAGAATTATGAGAAGGATGTTTGAAGGTCTAATGTGACCTCTGGCTGGGTCACTAACTGATGGTTAATTTGTCTAAATCACTTGACTCCTCTAAGATCCTCAGAGTCCTCATCTCTTCAACTAAAGATTTTATAGATGAGCTATTACACTGCTTGGGAAACTTTAACATGCTCACCAAACATGAAGTACAGTGTCTAAAAGCCTCAACATGGATATTGCCAAAGATCTATTGCCAATCTGAGCTCTGTACAAATAAGACATACTAGTATTGTTGTTACTGTAGTGAGCTCTGTTTATCTCAGAATGTTGCTAATTACTTAAGTACTTTTTATAGCTGCCTGTCTGGAGTCTAAGACCCTGAGAAATCAAAGCATTTACACTTTAGTTACAAGCTCTGTGAGATTGTTGCTGGTGATCTATCTTCCACTGGATATGAACAGGGAAGCACATATTCCTGTCTGAGACCAGTAGCCATACTGTAATCATGAAGAGAAGCAGCCTTAGAATGAAGCTGTGATTTGACAGAGTGGAAGAAGGAAGAAACCTTGGTCATTTATTACATCATTTAGTTGCAAAATCAACCAACCTCATGACTCTCCTAACCACTGGACACCTTGTTATGTAAAATAATAAATGTCCTTTTCCTTTAAGTCACTCTGAATTGGGGATTTTGTTACTTGCAACCAAATATATGCTGATACATAATTTAGCTTAGGTTTTTGAAGGTTTATTTCTCATGTAACAACAGATAGAAAATGATGTCCTTCAAAGATGTGGTTCTAGTTCAAAACCTATCATTTATTCATTGAATGACATTGGGCAAGTCAGTTTCTTTATCTGTAAATGGAAACAATATTCTCATTGTCTCCTTTTAAAATATATTTTGGTTAGATTAATATACTTAATATGTTTTGTTGTTTTTAATTTTTAGGCTGGATTATATGGTAAGTATATGTATACCTTTAGAAGAAATAGCCAAAATATTTTCCAGAGTGGCTATATTATTTTATAGTTCTCTCAGGAATGTATGAGGGCTCTAATTGCTCTGAATCCTTGTCAGCACTTGGAATTATTAATGTTTTTCATATAGGTGTGTAGTAGTTTTTAATTGTGGTTTTAGTTTGTATTTTCTTAAAGGCTAACAATTTTAAGCATCTTCCTTTGTGTTTATATGCCATCCATATATCCTTTTTGGTGAAGTGTCTGTTAAATCATTTGCCAAATTATTTTTTTTAATTTTTAGGCCTAATCAAATTCTTTTTGATTTTAAATCTTTATTGTTGAGAGTAT